AATAATTTTATATACTTGCCTTGTTATTGCATTTTCACTAATTTAATAAACTTAGTAAACATTTTTGACAAACGTTTTACTAATCAAAATATTTTTGATTTTAAATAATGAAAACATCACCTATCGTTTTCGCAACCATAAAATATAACGAATAATTTTACAGTAAGCTCACCAAACAGGTTCTTTGATTTTTCAAGTTGAAATGACAATGACACTATAYTGTCTCTACAACAAATRAAATGAGAATAGTCTTCGATAAAACTACGAAACACCCGTTGATCGAGAGGCACATCATTTTATTCCAATCTCACATTGATGTTATAGAGAAACTGCAAATATAAAATAACAATCTATTTCAGAAGCACGATAAAGTGGTACTTTAAATATTTATGCAATGTCGTRGATGAGGTTCTATCCAGTTATATTATATTTGCTTCTAAATTTAATAAAATAAATTTGAAAAATAAAATGATAATAATATATCGTATAATCTCTAGCCGCAACATTAGTGCGTTATTTTTGTGAATATGAAAAAAATTTACTGTGCGTTAAAAATCACCCACAACCTACGTCTGCTAGTTTACTACCAATAATAATATATTTGGTACGATATCTTTGTAAGCCATTGGCAGATTAATATTTCGTAGGTGAATCTACCTATCCAATTATTCATCGACCGTGGTATAAACAAAAATGTTATTCTGTTTTTGTACCTACTTAAACCTTTTGATAAAAAATTAAAATAAATAATATAATAAGTATATTTCATTYAATTGATAAAAACGTAATAATTTAAATTATCCATATACATAACTGTAGTTGTAAAAACTATAAGATAATAAAGATTTGAGAAGTTGGTCTGAAGGTTAATTTTGAAAAGTTGAAGGTTATAAATTTATAATATTGAAAAACGAAAAACTGTAGCTATGTAAATTCATGAAACTTTTAACAAATGTTTATTTTATTATCTTCTAGGCTTAAACGATAACATTTTCAAGATATGTTACTCTTTTTTGAGTTATTTATAGACATTTGGAATTTTTAACTTTTAAAGTTTTTTTTTTTTATCTATAAATTTCGATAAAACTTTTTGTTAGGTTAATGGTTAATGGCTTAAAAAATTAAAACAGATTTCTTYATAAGTTGTTAAAATTAAACATTTTAAGTATACACAGGCTCGAATATTTTTATAAAAATAAATGTTATCAAGAGAAAGGGGCAGTGCCCCTACAAAACGGCACAAAGATCTATGTATAGTGGGTCTTTAACCAAATATATTTTATTATTTTACACCTATTACCTGCAAATATGTGATTTTATAAAATGTATCAGTGTAAATATTGGCGTTGGGTAAAAACACCATGATTAACGGTTCGAGTTTTTAATATTTACATTATTTAAGTGGGTACGTGTGCCTTTTACGTGCTCAGAATTCAATTTCAGAATGTATAATATTATGTAGTATTCTTAAGCCATCTCTTCTTTAATTGGTCTAAACTCACTTGAACTCAGGAATTCGTTTCTATTCTTTTTATAAAAACTTTGTAAAAGTATACTATTAATATATGCCTACATATTATTGATAATAATATTTTAATATATAATGACATAAACATCTGTAGTGACAGTTATTCTCAAAMTATAATGTGTTGGTCAAGATATTTCTGAGGACCAATCTACCTAGTATAGTATAGTATCTATAAAGGATATTGGTCGTTTTTAATTGTAAATATAAAAAACTGTATAAAAATCGTTCCAATATATTTATTATTAATTTATTGGATTGTCTTAATGATCTTTATCTATCAATTTTGGCCATTCATATTGATATTGAAGTAGAAAATGATGAATTACTTGACATATTGGGCATATTATTATTTTTTTTGACAAAAACTTACAAGACTAGACATTTTGCTATACAATTTGCTGTAGTATATTTTAATAATAATGTATCTAATTAAGAAAATAGTTTGCTTAATATTGGATTTTTCGAATGAATCACTTTGAATAAATGATTAGTGGTAAGTCTTACTTGATGTGTGAGGAAGAGCCCCTTCTCCAAGGGATGGTGGCTATAAAACATTCCATATTCCATTCTATAAAACATTTATTATTACGCCATTGACGTGTATACAGAAATATTTATATTAAAATATAGTTAACTATTATAACTATTATTTTACAAATTCATATTATGGCCTGAAGTCACCTAAAATCATAAATTACATTCTTTGTAGTTTAAAATATATTTAAACCTGATAACTCAATAAAAAAYCAAGGATACTGTATACTTAAGATTATTTTGAATTAATAATTTGATAGATATTAGAATATTTAAAAAAAACTATGTAATAATGGTGAATGGCACCTGATAATACAAAAAAAAAATTAACTGATCACAACATTTATTCAGTTTTTTGAAAAGGAATAAAACAACAATTAAATTGTGTTTATTTTTGTGTATTTACAAAATTAATAACACATAAATA